AACTGTTTGGACATTTCTGGGACAGGTCTTAAGGTAAAAAAGCATCTGTCTATGTTTACTGGACAAGTATAATCAAATGTTTTTCCCCTCTGACTACTTTATTTCCCTTTTCACTAGGATGTTAATGCTGTTATTAAGCGGATCCAAATGCAGATTGGCCTTGTGCACTCACAGGTGCCTCTGAAGGAATTTGATCATAGTAACTGCAAAACAGAGGGATGGGCAGAACAGGTATGGGCTTTTAAGTCTGTTTTACTCTCTAGAAATTGTCCTTGTGGAGTATTAAATCACTGAATAGGAAAGAATAAGGGATAGAGTTCCAATTTAATTTCTGTAAATTTTACAAGAAACATTTTAACTCCTTCAAATGTTATTTCAGACAGTTTTGCAGTGGGAGCAGGCAGTTATGGAGGCCACCAAGCCACAAGACAACTTGAGATCCAGAACAGCAGCTCTGCACTTCTGTACGTAACTGCATAGAGACCACATAGTTTGTGTTCTTTTCTACAAGGAATTTTTTCTTCTTTTTTTTTTTGTACAAATAGCATCTCAGGTGTGAAATTTCAGCCACTTGGGTAACTGCATTACAGCGCGTTTCAGTTTTTTCATTTATTAGACTGCTGCTCTTAAACCTAAGAGTTAAACTCTTAACCCTAAGCATGGCAGCATGCTTAGGGCAACACATAGCAACTCGAGTTTTCTCCTTAAAATTCTGAGTCCAAAATACAAATGTTATTGTTCCCTATGCACATTTCAGCAAAGCAGTCAGTGTTCCAGGTTGGCTTGGCCAAAACAATTTACAACACAAGTATGCATTTTATAGCATCATTCTGTTTCTCCCAAAATCTAAATTTGATTTTTTTTTTTTTTTTTCCTGTAGATGGCAAGACACACAGAATTAAGGAGGTAGTCAAATGCAAACTGGTGGAGGCAGAGACAAAAGTATCTGGAAACTTGCAGTTTTATAAGGAAAAAGTTCCAAATTGCCATTTACCTTTGAAAAAGGAGGTTGCAGGGAGCCACGAATTAAAGAACAATAAAAAAAGAGCTTTGGCTGAACAAGAGAGAGAAAGGACTTCCAAACAGAAGCATCTGTGCCTCACTGTGGAGGACTGGGATTTGTTAAATACCTACTGAGTCAGAGAGAAGTGGGTCTTTTGTTTGTTGTTTTCTTGCTGATGACAGAATTTAGGCACATTGAGAGGGAGTAACAAAGGAGACCAGTATTATTAAATCTGGTTGCTGTGATATGCTTGTGGGTTAACCTACGCTTGGGGAGGGATAGAGCAAGGAGAAGGTTGATGATACTACTGTATATTTTCAATACATAATAATTTTTTCAAATAAAGTTTTTGTTGTCATCCTTAACTAATTCTTCTGACGTAGATATCATTCACAGAAATAGCTGGTCCTGTCCCTCCTCCTCTCTTGTCTTGGGAGACTAATCACTTGCAGAAGACTAATCACTGCAGCTCATCTGAAATGAAGCTGCACTGTGCTTCCCAAGTGCCCTGGGACTTCAGCAGTGCTGGGAGAACATAAACCTCAGCCGCTAAGCACCAGGCTGTGTTGGTAGAGCTCTGACAAAGGGAGGAAGCAAAGAGGATAAGCACAGGCCCCAGGGGAGAGAGGCAGAGAGACAGAAACCCCTCCGTAGAACAGAAGTCTCCTCTCTCATTTTAGCCCAGGAAATGAAAGCTGAAACTGTTACGGTAGAGATTAGACTCTGCAGTTGTAATATATTCTCCCTTATAAGCAAATTCACTGCACTGGAGAGCACTCTCTGGCTTAAAACCCATTCTCGGTGTGCGTGTAGGCCTGCGATACACTGTGGTACTTCCCCATCTGAAAACATTCGGGGAGGTTTATAGTTCAAATATGAATGATATATATTTGTTGTAAAAGAACTTCTGTATGGGGCTGGCTGAAGTCTGGGGTACAGTTGTAATGCTGCAGGTCCTGCCCTGGGTGGTTCTAACACAGTTTGCTGAGGCACATAGTGTCCATGAGGGGGGCACGGCCACCATCACTGTGCTCTTGGGCCAATAAGGCCAAGAATTTACCACAGGTTTCCTCTACTATTGCTTATTTAGAGGACATCCTCCTTTTACACTGTTGTTTACCATAATTCAGCAACAAGAAAAGCAACACATCCTAGGAAATCATGAAAAGGACAAGAAAATGAGCTTCACCTTAAAAATGCATAAAGAGCTAAACTCCTTTCTCTCTTTGTTCTTTTATTGCTGAATTTTCCTCAAAAAAAGGACTACACACAAACAAAGCAAGCATACTTGCAATCAAGCCCTACATTTTTTCCCCAGAAACTCAAGGCTATTAATAGCTTCCACTGACGACTACATCAGCCCTCTGCTGAGACAAATAATGGCACAAATAGTGACTGAGCAAAACAGCGTCTCAACAGGGAGGAAGACGACTGTGGCACTCGAGTATAATCCTCCTCCTGCAGCTGGCTTCTGGTTCAACACCCACCACGGATTTCTTTTGCTGGCCTTTCCACCACTGTGGGGATCTGCTAATCTGACCACGGAGAGGTGCCTGTCTCGGAGAATCGTGTACTCCATTTCACATCAGTAAAGCAGCTGGGAGCTGACGCTTTGAGCCAGAAAATAGCCACATTGTGATTTGACATGAACAGTCTGCCCAGGTCACAGGCTTGTTGGTAATAATACAGTACATCTTTGCTTTTCAGGAGAGGTGTTTTAGAGCACTGTGTTTTCTCACGTTCTTCATCCCTGGTACAATTACTCCTTTTCTTAGGTTTCTTGCTGACCAGCAGACTTCCTCTTTTAAACACACCACTGTGTAAATTTTATCCTAGGAAGACTTAGACACACTTACCTCTATGTCCTCAACCCACTAATCTCTGTTTATTGTTCTCTGTAAAGCACACGGCCTCTGCTGACCAGGAACAAGGCAGTAAGTAAGAAAATTACAGGAGGAGGCTCGCCCTGAAATAGATAGGCTCAGCCAAGTGCTGCTTAAACCGACCCTTGTGTCCCTGGCTCTTTCCAGGCTGGCTTCTGAGTCTTGCCTGTGGACTGCTGCTTCCCGCTGTCTCTCTTGGCTGGTCTCTTCACAGGTGTAAATCCAGAGCAGGATGAGTCCTCGGTTCCTCTCTCCTCACCTGAAGCCATTAATCACAGCTCTGGCCTCCCCAGATTGCTCCCTGCGAGCTGATACAGGGACATCCACTAATACCCCCAAGTCCTTCTCTGCAGGGCTCCTCTCAACCCACTTATTGCCCAGCCTGTATTTGTGCTTGGGATTGCCTCAGCCTTGCATTTGGCTTGAGAAATGCTGTAAGATTTCCTCACTGGTTGCCCCAGAACATAGAGGAACAACAGCAACTACAATAAGCCAGGCTTTATTTACCAACCCCTACTCAGCCTTGTTGAAGCGTTGGATGTCTGTGACTCTGCAGCAGAAATGTGCATCTCAATTTCAGGCTTTGATTGAGGCTGGAAGCCTGTAAGTGAGAAATGTTTACCCAGAAAACTCCTAACCTCTCTTCTGGGTTGCAGCACTGAATGCACCGCATTAATGTTTTACAGGCACAGAGAAAGCAAGCCATCCATCCTAGCCAGGCGTGGAGAAGGACAGGTTATTAAACACAGCTTTAAAAGTTTCCCATAGTACCGGTTATGTTATGTAAAGTTTTGCCATCTCATTCCAGGTGAAGTAAGAGTCAATACTGTAAAGCTATTTTTAGAAGATCTCTCAGATCTACAGCTGTATCCCAGTGACAAATTAGAAGAAACATTCACTGTTGATACAAGTCATGCTGACATGCAGAGCTGCAGATCACAGGACAGAGGAAAGGAGGGAATGGTTTTATTTTTAAAGATCTATGACCTGGGATGGAGATGGGAAGATCACCTGATGTTTATTTTGGGCCTAGAAAAGTAACCACACTCACTGTAAACGTGGGTTTTTCTCAGAGATGATGTTTTAGACACTGACGAGATTTTCAAAGCAGCAAAGACCGAATCTTTCTTAAATTTCAGTAGCACATCCTTATCTATATCCTGAGGACTGCTTTGAAGGTTTGGCTGCCTGATCCTGCTTTGCTGGCAGAGGAAAGAAACGAGCAATGAACAGATCCTGTGTCATCCCACACCACCCCGGGAGCAGCACTTGGTTTTCTGCTGCTCTCTGCTCCAAGGCTAGGACTTTTTTTTTCTCCTTTCTTTGCCAACTTCAGTGCAAATGCATCCCAACCCCATGGCTGTTCTCAACCTGTTAAGCTGCTGCTCCAAAACCGCACAGCCCTGAGAGACGTACATTTTTATATACATGCTGGTGCCCTGCCCTGGCTTGCAGGGACAGCTATGTGGTCACAGGGACACGGTGATTTATCCCCACAAACCCTGAAACCGCTCCAGTTTCCCATGCCATTACACTCTCTGCATTGGCCTTCATGGTTTGAGAAGAGCACAGGAGGTGGCCTGTGCAGCAGCTCCCCACGGTGTCACCTTCAGTCCAGTGTTCCCAGTGAAGCGTCCTGGAAGCATCACACAGAGCCTTCAAAGCTGCTGCTGAAACTGTCTGCAGGAGTGCTTTGAACACAAACACAAGCTTCTCCTCCTGTCCGTGAGGATCAGGAGGGGCAAGACGTGTTGGTGGGAACTGCTAACCCACAGGCTAGAAAGGGTCACCTCGCTCAGCTCCTGCTCTTCAGCGTAGCCCTCAATGTACCAGCATCTGGCTGCCAGCAATGTCCAGACAGGAGAAAACCCTCACACAGCGCTGGCCAGACAGAATCACAGAATCATTCAGGTTGGAAAAGACCCTTGGGATCATTGAGTCCAACCCTCAGCGTGACTCTACAAAGTTCTCCCCTACACCATATCCCCCAACATCTCATCTGAACGACCCTTAAACACACCCAGGGATGGGGACTCCAGCCCCTCCCTGGGCAGCCTGTTCCACTCTCTGACCACTCTTTCTGTGAAAAACTTTTTCCTCATGTCCAGTCTAAACCTCCCCTGTTGGAGCTTAAAGCCGTTCCCTCTTGTTCTGTCACTATCCCTGTGAGAAGAGACCAGCACCAACCTCTCTACAATGTCCAATGACACGGTATCTGTGTTGGCAGCAGCTGGCAAACAGTCTCCAGCAGCTCACACACAACCCTTGGAGTCAGTGCTCTGCCCATGTAGAAAGGACTCACCCTGGCACGACAGGAGAACCGTGGCAGTGTCCCACAGCCAGTGTCTAGCCTGCAGCACGAGCTGCCATACACACTTCATCCCTGCATTGCTCTGTGTGCTGCTGCTGAGGATTTGCTTGGGTTGGAGCTTCCCAAGCAGGTGGCAGAGCAGGAGGACACCAAGGCTTAGAGGTGACAATGCAGGAAGCACCCTGCTGTCTCCAGCGCTGCTGGGTGCCAGGACTTCACGGCCTGCAGACATACTCATCAGACCAGCTGAGGCAGTGCTGGACGCCGTCCCGGCACAGCCTCCTGGGGACACAGGAGCAGAACTCGTAGAGCACAGGACTGCAGCTCCACCACGCCGACCCGCACGGGGGGCAGGCAGCCACTGGGAGAGATGGAAAACAGGGAACAGAAATGGTTTTGCTGCACTGACCCCTTCCCTCCTTTCTTGGGCAGGTAGCTACCCTTTCACCCCCTGTCAGCTGCTGAAAAGCCACTAGTGATGACCCGGTGTCTGTGAACCCCCCAAAGAGGACACTGGCTTGGTGCTACTTGAGGGAGACAACCACAGAGCATGACGTTATGACCTTCATGGCAGATTGTGCCATTCTGGGAGGAACTATTAATTGTCATTTATTTTTTTTAGCAAGCTACTCTAGAGAAAACTCCTGATACAGGCAAGTCTCGCCTCAAAACCACAGGGGTGACTTAGGAACAAACCTGCTGCTCATCTTAGCGAGAGAATGATCTAGATGGCTTCAAAGCTACTGAGGCACACTCAGTCCCCCTTGTCTCGGAGACATACCCATCTCCCAACCAACAGCCAAAGGCCAGTTTGAATGATCACTGCTGTCTACAGCTACACATCATGACGAAACTGCTCCACACTCAGCAAACCACAGCAGAGGAGCAACTTTTGGGGCTGGGAGCAAAGCACAGAGCCCTTCCCCTCTTGGTTGCCATCAGGCTTTGACACAGAGCCCTTGGCAACTGATGGGATGGAGCCCACATGGTTCATACTCACGTCCTATCCCAGCTATTTTGTTTTAGCCATGGACGTCAGCCTCCAGCTGCATCAGTGCGCACCACACCTGTACAATCTATTTCCATCCATCAGCAGAAAAGACCTTTTGCCCAACAATAGTCAGAAGAGAGACTTACAGCTCCCCATCTCATCGGAGCAGTCTCCACAGTCGTTCATCCCGTTACACCTCTGATCAGCGTAGACCCAGTACACGGGGTTACTGCAGCGGAAAACCAGGTATCCTGGAAGGCTGCGGGGCAAGTCACCTGCAAGGGTGGACACACGGGAGATGTGCTCAACCCCACTGGGCACGGATGCACCAGCTAAAATGGGGATGGTGCCTACCAAAGGCTGCTGTCACGGGGGGTCGGTCAGTACTTCCCCATGCAGTGTCAGGGCATGAATGACACCGCAGATGGGGAAGCTGTGGTAGGAAAGGGCAAGGGATGCTCATGGCTGAGCTGGAAGCAGAGTCTGGGTGCTCCAAGTTTCTGCTTTAATAAGTTTTTTTTTTTCCAAGGTAACTGGACAATAAATTAACCATATAGCTTAACCAATGGAGGAAAACTACATCATGATTTTATAAAAAAAAAACTAAAGAAGATCAGAGGAGCTTGGAGTCTTTGATTCCTGGCACTCCCGCTGGGTTTTGGGCAGGGCTGTGTCTCAGCATCTGCCCTACAAAGGATCTACCAGGCTTATCTGCTCACACACACAGCCAGAAGCATGGAGCAGGATTAGAGGGACACTGGCTGTTCTGTCTCACAACAGGAAGACCAGCACAGGGAGGAGAGTCACAATAAAATCACTCACCACAGAGTTTCTCCTGTTCATCCTCTCCGTTCCTGCAGCTGCTGACTCTGTCACAGACCTGGCTGGCTGGGATGCAGGTCACACTGTCATCACACAAGAAGCCTGTCCGGTTATTGGAGGCTGTACAGAAGCGGTTCACTGAAGGGACGGCAAGAAATACTTCATTTTCCAACATTTTCATGGTATGAGGAGCAGATCAAGGGGAAGCAAGGGGGATTTCTGAAATTCATTTGTTGTTCTGGAAATAACCAGGGGTCAGGATTAATCTCTGGTAGGTTAATGGCAGAGTCTGAAAACTATACCATGAAGCAGGATGGTGCCACCCAGAGTTACCACAGCCCTATGGAACAGGGAGTCAAGGAATGGTTGGTGGTGACTCGGGCTGCACATCCCCACATCTTCCTGCTGGTCCCTCTCTTTCCTCCCAGTTGGCGCCAGGACGCACCACTTCACACACAGTGATAGACATGAAGGCTCTTCTCACACAACATAATTTTCTGATTCCCTTAACAACAACAACAAAAAAAAGACTCTTGTGATACCAACCTGGCACACGTGACAGGAGTCCCAGTGCCACGGCCAAGCCCACAGTGGCAGCGAGGACAAGCAGCACGGTGGCAGAGATGCAGATGTGCCTCCACGTGCAGCCCCCGTGGGTCCTGCGTGGCTGGCAGCAGCCTGTTGGGAGGCAAGAGCGAGAAGTGAGGGGCTGGGGAAGGGTCTGGCAGGGCTGAGTGGGGCCGGGGTGTTTCGGAGAGGAACGGCACAGAGCCATGAGGGTGATGTGTTGGTGGCTCTGCATGCGGGACTGGCAGGGGGCTGCTGGGGTTTAGGGGCTGATGGGTGAATTTTAATAGCTGAACTCTGACATTAAACAACTCCTCATAGGGACTTTCACTGTTTGCAGTGTGGAAGAGCCCATGCTGCCGTTACAGAGCACTGGGAATGGCACAAACACCGTGTCTCCATCAGAGCTCACACAACGCACTTGGATGCAAAAGGCTGGAGAAGGCCAAGGCACTGCCCGGCCCCCGTGGGGCAGCAATGCCCTTTTCACGGCGGGAGCAGCCAAAACACGGGGCAGGTTGGTGTAAGGCTGGGAAAGGTGCTATCTCAGACCCCATGGCAAAACTCCTCCAAGAGGTAAAAATTTTACAGTGCTTTGGGCTTTCTGCCCCAACCAGGGCTTTTAACTCTCCCCCTGAATTATCATCTCAAAATGGTGAGAACTGGCCAAAGAACAGCCCTCTCCCTCCCCAAAGACATCTCCAGGGTACAAAGGGCAGTGACTTTCCAGGGACTTTAACTTCCAGAAAGTCACGTACGTAAATCAAACCAAATCCGGAATCTAAAGACCAAACCCACAGTAATTGCAACACAACAGCAGCGCACGTAAGAGCAACGTCAATCAGCTGCTCCCATCGCAGCTCTCTGCAGCACCAGTGCTTTAAACCAACACTGTATTTTCTTGCATTCCTTCTTAATTTTCAGACCAACAGAAAAAAAAAAAATTAACGTGATCATCTGAGAAAGACATAACCAATCGCTTAAGACAACCCCACGTGTATAATTGGATTTTGGTATTTATGAACTTAAAGAGTTTTGATCAAAGAGTTAGAATTTGTCTTAGCTGTGCTTCGTATTTCCTCAGTTGCTGTGTTGTACAAACGCAAGCGAAGTCACGTCCTTCGCTCAACAGCAAAGGGATCCTGGCTGCAATAACCACCCCCTCCGTCACACTTGAGTGGGAACCAAGTGCAGAACATTTTAGCTTAAAAGAAAAGTGGTGAATTACAGCATGTCTGTGTCTACAAGACAACACCTTTGACCAGAAAGCAAAACAGCTGCAAACAGACAAGAGTATAAAATAATAGCAGTGATGAAATGTTGTTGTAACCTGACCTACAGGTCTGCTATTGATTCTGTTTGATCTCACCTCCTCCTCCTTAACAGGGACACAATTTGCTGAAGTTTGGCTATTATAAGATATAGAAAGGATACAGCAAGTTCGTTATGAGCCTTTCTGTGACAAGGATCACCTATCATACGGCTGCCAATTCCCGGCAAAGAAAGAGCAGCTTTAAGTTTAGAAATTTTATAGTCTGGACATTTCACTACACAGAAAGGGGAGAATCAGTCTCAACAGACCATCAATACTAGTTGTATTTTACATTACATAGATAGTTTCAATTGATTTATACTTTAATAATAAAAAGGTTAAGCTCTGCATTTTATTTGTTACCTGATTCAACAAAGTCCTTCTGTGAAGAAAGAGAAGGAGCTACATCACCATTTCTCTAGAAGGAAAGGTATAAAAGACCGTTTAGAGAAGCAGCACGCAGTAATCACACAAGGTATGCCTTTCTAGTTGTCACACCATCTTACCCAGAAACGTATCACGTATTCCTTTATTTTTACATACAAGAAAAAATAGCCTTGATGGAAACATGGCCCAGATTTAATTCACAAAGCGATCAATTGCATCACCTTCTAAATCTCAATTAGTCATTTGTAAAACAGCCACTAATGCAAGTCCAGCACTTGGTATCAATACTTTCCTTTAGTGTCAAGTTAGGTTAAGTAGAAAGGACACAAAATCTCACAAAAACCAGTGATAAAGAGGTCACAAACGACACTATCAAGGACATGTACTGTAGGAAACAGATGCATGTAAGATTTTTCCAAAGAGAACTGTACCTTGGGATGAGTTTTATTCATGCTTCCCAGAGCTACAGCCCTCACAGCAGCTCAGAGGACCGCAGGGAGTTTTCTGCACCTTAACACGAGCGATGTTACCAGGATACAAAACCCAACAGAGGTAGGAAAGCACGGCACGTGCTGCCGCCCAGGCACTCAAGCAGGAGAGGACAGGGAAGGCAGCGCTGAGCCTGTGCCCCAGCGCCGGTTGGAAGCTGGGTTTCTGGTTTGCTTCTCGTTCCTCCTGGCTCCATCTTGGTTTCACAACAGGGCATTAGGCAAATCACAAAGGACACGGAGAGTTTGGATGCCAAGATCCTGCTGCCAGTCCTGGAGCCAGTTCAGAAGCTGAACACTAGCTGATGCCAGTTGCTTTTATCCTGGCGCTGGTCAGGGAGAACCCCGTTGTGATGAAAACTTGAGGGAAGAGAGTCTGATCATCTTCCTGCAAGTCTCCTTTCTCCCCACCTCCTTCCCAAAACAGAGCTGACACGCTGATCTTGTAGCAGCATCAGCCTAGGCTCCTGCAAGGTGATCAGATCTCAGCAGAGCTGTGCAGGATACAACCATCTGGAATAGTTTCCCTGCTTGGCCAACAAGCACAGGCATGGCAAATCCTCCAGGGTCCTCTCTTACTTGCATACTTGAATTTCCAGGCCTGCAGTTAAGTCTTAGCAGCTCAGCCTGTAGCCAACATGAACTTACACACTGCAGCCTTCTATACTGGCTGCAGGTCTTGGCACAGCACATGCAGTGGAGTTTTGCAGCTTCAAGGATAAAATGTCATGAGCAGGCAGCTTTGCCACAGGGGTAGGGGGGGAAAAAAACCACTGGCATGAAGTGTTCAAGGAGCCTGTGTTCTTCTTGCTTTGCAGGAGAGTCCATAGGACTCAAGTGCCTCCAAATAGTTGTCACCTCACAGGTCACAATTCCTCCTCAACCACTAGCAAAACTAGCTCAGCAGGGCTTCGGAGGAGAAACTGGCAGCTCTATTGCCTGTAAATTGGCCCTGAGACAATCGCCTCGAATTGATTCAAAGCACAGACACGGAGGAACAATTACAGCTACTTCCCTCTCCATCCCCACACATACAACTCATTCTTGATCCCACGAACACTGAGTTAATACACGCTTCTTGACAAGGGCATCTGCCAACCCTGCACTCCCCTGTTCACAAACCAGCCAGAATTAAGTAAGTCTTTTAGGAGCTCCTCCTTCAGCATGGCAATACCAGTTTGTCCAAAGCAGAATCTTTTCACAGGAATATATCACCGTTAGACTTGGTGCTAGAAAGCTCTCCTGTTCTAAGAAGGATTTGGGGTGAAAACACCAAAAAGCAAAGAGTCTACAAGTCTGGGCACCTGCTACAAGAATGACAGACTAAGGGTTAAAACCTGCGTATCTTAAATTCTGGATCTGTTTCTCTTTAAAGAAGATGATTTAGTTTCTCATCAGACTTGATACAGGACTATTTTGAACCTTCAGAAAGCTAATGAGGTGGCTGTGAGTTTGCCAGGAGTCCCACATAAGAGCCAAGTCAACCAGGCTAGCTATGCATACCTCACAAAACAATTTATGATGGAAATGTTGAAAATGTGGAGTAAACCCACTCTTAGAGGTAAACGTCCATAAGACCTGACATCTGTCACCATCTGTTTCCTACACCAAGATTATCAAGTTCAGCTGCAGCCAACCAGGCAGTTGGGTTTTAGAGCAGTTACCCCACATCAAAGACCGCTTATAGTTCGGAACAAGGAGTTCATGAGAATGAGGTAACACACACAAGCGAGTCCTTCTGAAGTAAAAAAAAACCCAAAACCAACCCCCCCAAACCCCTCAACTTTGCCAATGATCAGAGAAGCTGAAGAGGGGACACAGGTCAAGATATCTAGTATGAAAAGAGACTTTTGTTAATTCCAGCTCCTAAAAAAACCCCAGTCCCCCCAAATGTACCATGGCTATTTCTGCCAGCAATGTTGCACACACTTGAGGGGGTTGCCTCGTTTGTGTCAAGATGATCCCGTTTAAAATCTAAGTCAACTGAACACATGACTAAATATAAAAATAATATAATATAAAAATGCTAAATATAAAATGCTTTCCACCTGCAATTTCAGTAATTTAAGGCCCTTCATTTAAACAGTGATCTTGAGCAGAGATGAAACGCAAATTGCAGCCTCTGCAAATGAAGATGTCAGGAAGTCAAACACTTAACAAAAAACGAGTAGCCATTTTGCAAAGTCATTTGCCAAGATAGCTTAAATAGTCCGTTTAGATTAGAAATCTTGAGAAACAGTTTAATTAGCGCGGCCTAGCTAGTATCTGATTTTACTGAGGGGAGATACTTTGAGAGGAGCTTACAAGTACAGCACTTCAGCAGTTCTTCAGACTCTGGCTCACTCTGGAAACAGCAGTGCCACATGACAGTTGCCACAGGCCCAGTTTTCCCGTGACCTAACAGCACATTACTGAATCACTGGCTTCACTGCACAGATCACTTAGCTGAAATGTCATTAAACAGCGAACAAAACACGTAAAAATTGTGTTTTCTCCCTTTGTTGTAGGCAGATACAATACCAAACGGAAGCCTAAGTTGGTTGTTTAACTCAAACCTAGGAATGTAAGAATAAAGTCAAACATTTTGTAAGAGAAAGTTTGGGGAAATCAAGTCATCACCGTAACAGGGGTTGAACTGAAACAGGCAAACAGCCATGTTTTCATGAAGTTGTAACACTCCCTCTGCAACTAAATATAACAGTAAAGGAAAACATTTCAGCAGAATTGAAAACATTTCCACAGTAGTAATTCAATTAGAAAAACCAGGATCGTTTTAAGTCTCGTCTGGAAAGGCAATCCCCAATAACATAGTGCTAAGACAACAGGCAATAATGACTAAAGTAAAGCCCCTATTTACAAATAAATTTAAACATCTATTGCACAAATTGCGTCGGACACTGCTTGAAGTGGAACACTGGTGTCCTGCACCGACACAGGGCTGTACGCTGAGGTTTGCCACGGAAGCAGGAACACCCGTCTGCAGTGACTCACTATTGCAGAGGGATTTCCTGCCCCTGCCAGCAAACAGTGTTCTGAAAACATCACACCATCCTTTTTTCACAACAGTCACGCTTGAGGCCTTGACAATATTACCATCTCCATGCAAACGGTACCTGTCAACGGCTGCTGGCACCCGAATTTCTGCGCTACAATGTTATCCCACTGAAGAATTTAGCATTAAGACTTCAAACTGCAATTTCTGCATGTTGAAGAAGCTTGCTTAAAACAAACGGCTCTTAAGGCTCTGAGACCTCATTGATGGAAAACCTGCCTGACTGCTTTCAGGCTAGGGTTTTCGGCAGCACACAGGCCACTTAATGCACATTCCTGCTTAATCGCTCCTGCAAGGCCCTGTAGTTACACAACCATCGGCGCTACAGCCGAATTAGGAATGACTACTGAACCCGTTTTAACAGCGAGGGAACACTGTACTGCATCCTCCAGAACATCTAGAGTTCTCACCAGAATTCAAAACCTGAAGAGGTGTTGTTTGTGGGGTTTTTGTGGTTTTTGTTTTGGGGTTTTTTTTAAAACTTTCAAGGGAGTTCTGCATAATCAACAAAATATAAGTCGGAGATCGTGCATCCTAGCCAGCTTTCAAACACTTACAGACACCTTAAAATAAACCACACACATCCCCAACTTGTCAGTACTATGGGAACCAGCATATAGTCATCTCCTCAAAGAAGAGAGCTGCAAAAAAATATACAAGGAATGAGAGGCACTGTTAGTTGTGGTTGCGTTAGTGAATCGTGTAGCAAAATCGGGTCACGCTGCCCGTGAGAGGAATTCTACAGACAGGCTTTCACACTGCATGTTATGGTCAATAACTAAGCATAGCAAAAAGCTATATAGTCAATATTTTCTATACAGTCAATTTTATTTGTCTGTTCTCATTTCTCAGGAATCAACTTGTTTCTGTAAATGAAGTTACAAGACTAGAATAGTTAATCAAGAACAGAAAGTCTTCAGAAAACACAGGCGCTATCTTTACAAGCAATTTAAGACTTAAAGGCTAAAAGTTTGACAAAATAATTGACCATGTTATGTTCTCTGTGTGAAGGGATATGTCCATAAGCTTTAATAAAGTTTCCATCTTTCACAAACTCAAGTCTAGCCTACAGCACCTCACAAATGCTTTCCATCTTGGATATTGCCACACTGTAGAAAAAATATATTTCTATTTTTGGAGACAGGGTTGTTTGTGCATGAACATCAACAAGTACAAAAATTCAGCAGATAATTTTATAATACTTTCTCTTAACTACAACAGAAAGTGCAACACTAAAAAGGCATCTCCTGCCTACTTAAAATTTCTTATACCTTTACAAAGCTAACTCTGAATGTACACATTACATCCTAGAACACACAAATAAGTTTGAAAGTGTCATGGCAGAAGTATGGAAAGCATGCTTACAGCTTTTGTAAGCAAAAAGACACATAGCAAACACCAGTGAGAAGTGATTATGTCTGGAAACAAACAAAATTCAAAATGTCTGAATCTTCACTACTAGTTGAAAACAAAATCCCATGACATCTGTGGATTCTGTAACTTTATTTGCATTTAAAGACTGGCTGCTAAGCTTCTTATCTGAAGAACCATCACAAACAATCAGGAGTTGCTAGCTCTGTTAGAATTAGTCTATTGGATCCAATGGAGACTTATTTAAATTGCTGATTGAGCCAGATTGACTTTTGTAGGAAGAGGTCCTGCTTCTTCATGTTCCTCAGTCTTGCATCTAACCACAACAAGTGCAGAGGATGGGTATCTGTTCAGTTTTTGTTCATTCATGTATTCCAAATCTCCATAGATGCTCAGCTTCTGAAATATTTAAACAATTTACTTTAAGACAAAGACTCTCCATACTGTGAATAAAATGCATTTCATTATGCAATTTCATCCCTGGTTCTGATGGCTGCAGCCCTCTAATACAAGTTAACCCAGCCTTTCTGTAACATCCGAA